CGTTCGAAATTGTTTCAACCCCCGGAGGAAAAGTCTGCAGAAGAGCTGGCAAAGATGGCTGAGATTGATATGCGATGTCTATCCCTCTGCACAGCAATGTTAGAAAGAGTCATGAGTGTAAGTGGAAAGGGCTTGTCCAAACCCTGCTGAACGAAGAAATAACAGACATTCGATGAAAACTCGACTTTGGATGGAATCTTGGCCGAATTGATTATTCCAGCCGTGAAGAGCAAAGATCCTACGATGAGAGAACGGGGAATGATAACTTTGGGACTTTGTTGCTTGATTCACAGAGTACGATTGTTCTGATCTTTTGCCCTTCAAGTCACTGATTCAAGTCATGAGCAGAAGATGGCCATCAATTCTTTCAGCCTTTTCTTGCATCAGGTTGAAAAGGCATCTTCAAATCTGAAACTCAAAGCGCTACAGATCGTGTTTGATCTCTTAACCATGTACGAGCGCGATTTCCTTATGGCACCTGGAAATGAAGAAGTAAGCAAGAAATTATGTGTAGGTCCCAATATTAACTCCTTTCAGCAAAATACTCTGGACCAGGTCACAGATTTCCTGCTCAATGTCCTCGGAAACGCAGATAGCGATTCGATCCAAGCTACCGCGGCCCTAGGCTTATCAAAGCTCATGATAACGGGGGTCCTGCAGCAGGACCGGGTAAGTATACTTAATTCCTGGCCATGGATAGCGCCGCTGAATACAATAAGGTGTTACAAAGTCTCGTTATGGTTTACTTCTCTCCAGAGACTCTAGGGAACCAACAACTCCGGCAATGCCTCTCCATAGCACTTCCCATCTATGCATATTCAACTTCCTCCAATCAACAACGCTTGCAAAGAGTAATCCCCTCCAATTCAGTGTCTAATCGCAGCTGACATTAATCACAGGTTATCATCCCGTCTATACAAATCCTGGATGAAGTATATCATGAGCTGGAAGGGGAACAGGAAATGATCACACCACTTCAGATCCTAGGGACGCTGGTCGATTGGACCGATGCGAGGAAGGT